CTGGAGTTCTGTGTGGAGAAGATCAGAAAAGGATCAAGAGTCTATCTAAAATGTGTGTCACACCCTAATGCTACAACTTTAAAAAATATTGTTTAAAGATAAAAATATCTTGTTAAATACCAAAGACAAATGAACAACTTTATCACAGTATATTGAATTCTTTCAAAAAACCTTTAAACTTTACAAAACATCAGTGGGGTGTTGAAAGTTGTGTATGAGATATTAACAGAATTTCAGAATTATGAAAGCCACATCAGTATGAAGTTTTTTCAAGTGTTCTAGGTGTTCCGCTTGATAGTAATGACGACCTATCTACAAATGACAATAACTGAGTATCTCTTTCTGTATGCAGTACATTATTAGTTTCAGGCACCCAGCTAGGGGGTTAGAGACCAGATGTAAAGGGCTCCTTCAAAATTGTAGTACAGTCAACAAATACTGTATAACATACTCAGTACCAGTGTTACGTGATCCTCACAAATTTTAAAAAGACATTGGTTAGGTACACGGAGTATGTGACATTCTATTGACAACTGTGTTGCCTAAAATGCTACTGTATTTATCAAAGGGGAGTTATAAAAGATAAACATGGAAAACAAATGATCCCATTATCAGGGGCCAAATTAATACAGAATGCAGTGTTAATGGAGGAGGCACGGTTCTGTGAGATAGGCTTCTGCAACGGCTGTACAGGGTTGCTATAGTGGATGGCAGTCCTGTATCAGAGCTGGCACTGGAGCAGAGAGCCTGCTAATGAGGAGCTGGGGACTGAGCTACAGTGATATCGCTGGAAGGCACACAGTGGCAATATGAAAGGGCAGACAGAATGAGAGAGGAGCTTCAAAAGCACCTCTTTACAAAAAAAGTACACAACGCTCTCAACAAATACAGCATAATCTCAACAGGTACAGCATGCTCAAGCCAAGTAAAGCACGCTCTCAACAAATACAGCATGACTTAATAAAATACAACAGCACACTGTCCACATAAGTTCGGTATACGTTCATCAAGTACAGCATACTCACAAGTTCAGTACACTCTCCAGAGTGCTGTGTGCCCTTCCTCTCCCCGGATGTAAAGAGCCGTGAAGCCTTTGGACAGACTTTTCAACCAAAACACTCACTACATTACAGTATATTCCTTGTGGCCTTCTGAGCAGAAAAGAGACCTCCCATGACCTGTGATCCCCACATTTTCCAAACTCCTGTGTTCTCTGTTTTCTGCCAGGCTGTGCATACAATTCCAAGTCTTGTTTTCTCCTTCACGTTGAAGAACACAGACCAAATGGAGAAGGGCAACAATCCCACCCATTTCCTCAAATTCCTCTCTACTCTCTCATTCTCCCTCCACTCCCTCAGTAATGGCAAAGAGACAGGCCAGTCTTCCATTCCGCCTCCCTCTGCCTGCCCATAGACAAAGGGAAACATAACAAATAACAAAATAAAACATTTGGGTTAGATGTGTGAATGTGGGTCTCCATTCCACACCGAGGTTGGGGGACTGGGAGAAAGTCACTTTTCATTTTATTTTGTGTGTGTTTTTTTGCAGTATATTACAGAAGAGCAGTACAGAACCAAGCTGTTTCTCATTCTCCTATAGCCAACATTTTAGAGATAGACCTCCCTAGCCTAGGATTAGATCACTTTTCCTCATAGGGACACCCATAGTTACCTTTCATCATCTCCTTTTCATTTATGTGCTGGTGCAGAGCAAATGGTCTGAACCACCACAAGGGAAACGCAGACAGTGTGTATTTAATGCCGAATGAGAAAATAAAGCTGCAGTAGCCCTGCCAGCTGTCAGGATACTCTGCACTTGCTTCTCAACCACATAGAGTAGGGTCTTCTAGTCACTTGTCTGTTCTCTGTGCTGTAATCAGATTGCCCTAGGTGAATCGGGCTGAGGGCCAGGTGTCCGACTATATTAAATCACTGACCCAACAAAAGGCTAGTCAGTCTGTAATATATTAAAAAGACAGACCATCCCATGACCTTTTGGTTAGTGCTCCCCTGGGTAGAAAGAGAAGATAGTTCTTTTAGCCTCCACACCTGAGCTCTATTCTGCTTGTGCAGTCCACATGTCCCAATGAGGGTCTGAAGTACAGAGGTCAAATAATTTGTCACTGTAACTTAAGATAGCCCTTCAGGACAATGGGCTCAATTGTTTCGAGCCTTTAAAGATTTGTTAAACATATTACCTAACAGGACCACCACCTGGCTTCCTGTGCTCCACACAAGACAAACTAAAACACAGATTTCTGCAATACACTACGCATTACTGACATTCACAGTCATCATTACTGATATTCCCAAGCTCACAAATCCACAGGTTAAGGCTTCTACATTTTAAACACTTGGGATGGGGTTACATATCACAGCAACAAGCAACACTGGAGATCTTAAGATCCAGGTTCTAATTCAGATTCTCAGCAGCTAGCACAATTATGACTGAATCTCAGAAATCTGTCGGATCTTTCTAAAATGCAACTGTGGAATCTCTTTATTCCCCTGACAAAATTGTGCATCAGACATCCTTTCTGTTTAAAACTGTCCCTTGATAGACTCCAGTTTAAAATACTGCACTAGATGCTTTAGATGCTCACAGAATGAACATGACAAGTAATATTGCTGTCAGATCTGGTCTTCAATTCCTGTGCAGAAATTTAATAATGATAATGGAAGATCTGCGCTGGTCCCAATGTGCTAGAAAGACACTTTATACTTTAGATATACATTACAGACATGCTTGCTGGGACAGACTCTGGTTCCCCTGAATTGAAAGAAGTGGTTAGAAAATGGATGGATGGACATTCAAGACATATGGCACATATTCTCAGCAACATGACATACAGTAAATGATGTGCAATTTCTCATTATTCCAAACATGTTTTTGAACTGGAATGTGTTACTTAAAACTTCAAAACCACTGCAGCTCTGACAGACATGAGTTGTTAAGAATAGATTATGGATAAATTAGATTAAAGGATAATTAGTGTACTGTATTTCAGAAAATGGCATGTGAGTTTCTACTGTACCTTTCCATACGTGCTTCTCACCCTACATTTCATGTAGCACCATGTTGCTGTAAATTCCTGGGGACTGCTCTACTCCATATCTCTTATAGGGTATGTAAGACACAGGATGTTAGTATACACAGTGATTAGTGGATCAATTGTTTATCACACTCCAAAATGTTTTAATGCAGTGAAGTTCAGGTGGGGTCAGAGGGAAGTTTTTTTCTTTTTGAAAATCCACTCAAATCCTATGCTAGGAATTTGAAATCACTGTGCAACTGTGTGATGCGTATTAGAAATTGATTGACTTGATAGGATTTGCATTTAGCAAATTAAGAAGCAATTAAAATAATAAGGTTATGAATTTGCACAGGATAGGATGGGATGTATAGAAAGGAGGAACAGAAGAGTGAACCCACGATGTGAAGGAAAAGAGATTAAGCAGTCTTTTCCTGTGCATCTCATTTGTTCCTTCATTTCTGTTTTCATTCTGTTCAGACACCATCAACCTGACACACAATGTCAAAGCTCATCTCTGTAACCTCCTGTCACTGCCACCTTTCTGCTATCTCTCTCTCCTGTTCTCTCACATCATGTCTGTTTGACCTATTTATTTTGGAAACATCATCCTACATTTCCTCTATGAGTCTGACAGGACTCCGGCCAAGTGCAGAGAGCCGCAAAGCCTTTTCTCTCCTTGTGCAGTGTGGTTTTACTAATCAATCCATTTTTATAGCAGCTTCTCATAGCAAGTTATATAGGTGTATGCAAAGCATAATTTTGTGGTGTAATTTTGAATTGAACCCACACCCACAAAGTCTTCTTTCACATGACTCATACAGATCAAGTGTGCATAAGACCCACTACACCTAAAGAGCATTTGCTTAGCACAGATTGTTTGAGTATCCTTGAAAGACCTGGGAAGTGGTATCACCTCAATGGGATGATTTGACATTATGGACATGTTACACTCTTCACTCTTCACCTATAATTTCCAAATAACAATAGAGCCTTATAGGCATCAGAGTCATTGGCTTAATTCATAACATCACTGTAGCCTATACTATACAGTAATTTGCCAAAATTTTCACAGGAATACCTCCTTGCACTCAGTCAGTGTAACTCAAACAAGAGCCAAACCTGCTCCAAGGTAAAGTCCTGGTGACGGTCTCATTTTACAACTATGAAAACCTCTTCCATATACATAGATGTCTTTGTATAAATGTAGCAGGTCTCCTAGTATGAGATGAGACTGTTATAATGGTAGCACTCCCCAGGATTTTCAAGAATTTGTAAGTCTTCCTCAAAGGGAAGCTGGATCTTTAATGGTGTGGATTTGTCCACTGCTTATGCTGGCTGCACCAGTCAGGCAAATGGAGGTGCCTGCAAGACAACATAACAAATCCAGGGTTGCAACCACAAATTATTATCCTGCATTCCACCTAAGCTCACACATAATTAATTGGTCTAATTAAGTGAAAAAAATGCTTTTTTCAAGGTCTGACAAACATTTTGTGCCTGAGGTTCTTTAAATCAAGTGCATTAGTCACAATTAGAGATGAATTAGGTAAGGTAGTTGGATCAATCATGATGTGCCAGCTCTGTGGCGGATGGCATACAACAAAAGATAGAATCCCTCAAGACTCCCCTCGAAATTAGAGTTTAACACCCTTGCCATCATACAATAAAATAGTGATCATGTGTAGCGGAGCTAGCTTGGGCACCCTCATCGCCCTCCCTGTGCGTAGCAGGGACCTCAGCCGCCTGGGCTGAGGGAGGTCTCCTTTAGCTCACTCGACTGGTTCCCTGTTGCATTACGCTGGAGACCCGGGTTCACGCCCAGGTGTTGTGGAATGAATCAGGGGGGTGGAGTGCTAAGGGAACGAGCCTGCGCAGAACCGCAATGGTCACACATGCAAAATGATTATACACATTTAGTCTTAATCAGATGACTTGCAGTAGTAAAAATGTGTGTTTTTATTTTCAGAACACACCTGTGGCCACACCCATCTTCATTGTGAACGCCACAGACCCAGACCAGGGCACAGGTGGAAGCGTTCTCTTCTCCTTCCAGCCTGCCTCACCCTTCTTCGCCATCGACGGGGCACGTGGCGTCGTCACGGTCACACGACCACTTGACTATGAGACAACACAAGCTTACCAGCTCACCGTTAATGCCACTGTGAGTAATGCCCAGACAGTAAGGGGTGAATGTGCAAACTTACAAGTTATGGACAAAAAATGGAAAACCAGTGCAACGTCACTTCACTAGGCATTGGGCCACCACATACAGCCAATACGATTTGTAAGCTTTATGGCAGAAAGCCTACCAGCATCTGGGAATATGCAGGAGGGATGTAGCATCATATTTCTATGAGAAAGTCAATCACCTCATGCCTGGTGGATGGAGGAGGAAAATATTGTCTCAGATGTTCTTCCAAAATAACCCATTAATTATTGATAGGGTTCAGATATGGTGACTTAGAATGCCATGACATATGGATTACTTCAGTATCGTGTTCAAAAACCGTAGGGTGACCTCACATGCTTTGTGGATGGGTGCATTAATATTATGGAAGACACCCCTCCTGGCGAGAAAGAAATGATGCAAACATTGGGTAAAAAATATAATTCAGTAGTATAAGTAGCATTGACTTTGCCTCCTAAGAGAATGAGTGTACCCAACAACATTATGGAATGACCAGAACTCTTTACTATTTGAAAGATGGAAAGTTGTTTTGTTTAGAGACTCCTGCATGTTTGTCTTCTCTGTTTCAGGACCAGGACAAGACACGGCCACTCTCCTCCCTTGCCAACCTGGCCATTACTATCACAGATGTGCAGGACATGGACCCCGTCTTCATCAACCTCCCCTACAGTACCAACATCTACGAAAACACTCCTCCTGTGAGTGCTCCTGTCCTTCCCTCCACTACACCCCACTCTCACACTGTCTCACACCTGGTCCCACTCTGCCTTGTGCTCAACCTGTTTCTTACTCATTGATCTACAGTATAAAAAAGCCTTCCTTTCTCACATACTGAGATTTGACAATCTTACACTGTCTTTGTTTATAAAACAGCTTAACATAGAGACACATCTCACTGTCACACACCTGCATGTAAAAAATTGTCTTCACTGCTGCCTCAGCCTCTGCTTCAAATCTTACTCTAGCCCTTACTGAAACCTATATTTCAATTCCAGTGCAAACTGTAATCTTAAATCAATTCTTAATGGAACCCTTATTTTAAACCTAAACCTCAAACCTAGTCTAAACCTAACGAGACATAACAGCAACCCCAGCCATAGCCAAAGACCTAACCCTTTTCTTAACCTTTCCTTCAACTTTATGGCTAACCATAATCATAATCCTAAATCTAAACTTAATCATAACCCTTAATCCAAACCCAACCAAAACTGCAACCCTAACTTTACCTGTAACCCTAACTCTATGTGTAACCCCAAATGTAATCACTAACCCCCAATTTAAATAACCTCAGCCTTTGTGTCAACTTTACCCCATATCCTAGCTTCACATCTAATCTAAATCCTAACTGTAAACCCAATTCTTGCACAGCCTATATGTGTAATAGGATGCATCTACAGTAGGTTAATTTCCTAATGTACATTTTCCAGCCAATCATGTGACTCTGTATGAGGAAGGCTTTGGAGTTTGTGCCACATGAACCAAAGAAGCAGGTTACCTGTGATATGCACAGTGAGTTTGAGAAAGTGTTTGAGGCCCTTTGCCTTCGTGGGCCCAGGATAAATCAGCTGTAAATTGGTAGTAATTAGAAGAGGCAGTCCGTCCCTCCAGCAGAGTGCCGTGACGGTGTTAGAGAAACACAATTACCGGACAGTGATTTATACCACTCCGCTGCAGGCTGCCATGAGAACTGCACTGCTCACAAAGGTCACCGGGGCTGGGATTTATCACTAATGCCTTTCAGATCCAAGTGCAAATTTACTCATAGTGTCAATTCTCCACCCCAGGGTGATAGTGTATGTTGTACGGGGGGGTGTACATGATGAAAATCATTCACTGTTCTCTTCTGATATTAAGAATGCTTTGTCAGAATCTGAGTGGATCATGTTTTTTAGATGTACATTATATGTACAGTACCGTCTAAATTATGACTTATTTTTGTTTGTATCAAAATTAAAATTTCAAGGCAATATGAAATGTGCCCGAATGGAATAAATCTGATCTGTTTTGAACACCTAGTCGTACAATATCATGGTGGCTGCAGAAGCAAAATGCTCTTTGCTACCGCGAATTCCTGTACTCACTCAACACTGCTGTTTCTGTGAATGAAACCCCTAACATTTCCAAACACATTTTCTCCCTCCTGCTTTCCATTCTCTGTTTTAGGGTACTTTGTGTTATCTGTATCCTTTTGCAGTTTTAATAGTCACTATGATACTCAATACATACTGAACCTGAAGTCCGTGTCACTTCATGTAGACCACAAATAAGAGAAAACTATTAAACTGATTCTGTTCTTTCTGATCTATTTCTCTTGTTGTCCTGAAGGTAGAACCTTCTAGGTATGAAATCCCCTTGAATCTCCGCTGGAAAGGAACAATTTAGAGTAGCCACTTAAACCTAGTCTGCAAGTCTTTGAGACGTGCAAGCTCGTGTGAACATGCAAAGAATGTGAAAACTCTCTCTGAACAGATACCCATCTGTGTACCCAGATGGGTACACAGGTCCAATGAAACTGGACCTGTGAAACTAACCCACACCTGAAGAAGGCTCCACGGCCGAAACGTTGTGTTCTCTTTCTTCTTTTTTTCAGCATGGAATAAACCTATTACTTGTTCCTTTGCAGCCTACGCATGCTGACGCAGCTACCCACCTGAACTACTAATGCTGATCACTATGCCACTCTGACAGATATACAGTACACACTTATTATACAATAATTAATAATAATAATTGCTTACACTTATATAAGCGCTTTTCTGGACACTCCACTCAAAGCGCTTTACAGGTAATGGGGACTCCCCTCCACCACCACCAATGTGCAGCATCCACCTGGATAATGCAACCGCAGCCATAGTGCGCCAGAACCTCACCACACATCAGTTATCAGTGGGGAGGAGAGCAAAATAATGAAGCCAATTCATAGATGGGGATTATTAGGAGGCCATGATTGGTGAGGGCCAATGGGAAATTTGGTAAGGATGTCGGGGTTACACCCCTACTTTTCGAGAAACACCCTGGGATTTTTAATGACCCCAGAGAGTCAGGACCTCGGTTTTACGTCTCATCTGAAGGACAGTGCCTGTTTACAGTCTAGTGTCCCCGTCATTATACTGGGGCATTAGGACCCACATGGATTGCAGGGTGAGCGCCCCCTGCTGGCCCCACTTACACCTCTTCCACTTCTTCCTCTACAGTAATCAGGACCAAATAAACCAGAAGGCCCTATTCCAATACTGTTCAATTTATTGTTTCAAAGAAAAAAAATTGGATTGTGTTTAATAAATGTCATTAACATAGTCCCTGACAGATAGTTTCCTCCAGACGACAAAGTGTTCCATTTTCTGAATGTTTTGAACATATGTACAAATTGCTATAAGATTCTTTCACCACAAAAAAGTGAAGAAAAAGAAGGAAAAGGAGAAAGCTATTATCTCTTACTATTCATTCAATAGTATATGTTTCAAAAAACTCTCATTTGTTCCACAAACTCACATTTTGTGCTGAGCTTAATTAACTGCAAATAGATTAAATACAGCCTGACCTGCTTCAGTACCTCGAGCTGCTATTTGATTTCAATGCCCACCTTTCATGCTCACAGTCTCTTGTGTGTCTCCTCTCTCTTTTCTGCTCTTTCTCTTAATCATTACATTTGCTACACCGTGGGCTCAAGCTGCAGCACAGACTGAACTGGGAATTCTCTCCCTGCACTTGCTTTATTGCTCTTCCCCTGTCCCTGTGGTTCTATCAGTAACTCAGAATTTATTGAAAAAAACATTGGTTTCACCCTTGTGCGAAATGTCAAGTACAACATTTGCATGCATATTAATGAGGCATGAAGACAACAGTGGTGAGTGTTTTTGCTGCTCTGATATCCGTCAACTGTCTGGGGAAGGTCGAGAAAACACAGGAGTGCCGGTTGTCACATTCTAATGAATGAGGCTCGTTCTCCCAGATCTTCAGCAGGAAACGTCCTGAGCCAACCAATCAATGACTCTGCGCTTACCTGTTTTGTGTTTGTGAGTGAGATTGTACACACCCAGGTGATACCACATTCACACAGCCAACACAGCACACACAGGAAGTACGGCAATGCAGATTGCCTGTGCACTGCAAGGCGGACAATATTGCAATATTGACAGCTAATACAGTATACAGCCAATACAGCACACAGAACATAGAACTCATTGAATGCAAATAGAGCATGAGTACAAACATCTAACATAACACACAGCTATTACAGCAACATGCATAGCCAATAAAGCACACTGAAGACCAGCAGACATACAACCAGGCCCATATACTGGCAGCGAATACAGAATGCAGACAGTCAATACAAGATATATCCAACTGATACTGCATGCAGGAGACGCAGCACATTGACAAACAACATACATTCACTCAACACAAGCTGGCCAATACAGACAGCTAATGCAACAGACTGCTCAGCCTGTGGTAAGAAGCTTTATTTCCACACTTTGACTTCCATTTCCAACACTTTCCTGCTCTACTTGACTTTTGCCATGATTGCCCAGCATAAACCATGCTCTAGGACACCCCAACATGTCTCTGCCCAAGCTGGGAAGCAGAGCCAGGAAGATTCTGCTCAATGTGTGACTATTTCTTAATGTCCTTCTGTGAACTGGAGAGTGGGAGTCTTGATATTGTTAACATATTTTATCCAGGTTTATGTTAAATGTATTTACATGCTCATGTATAAATACAACCTAAACATAATAAAGTACACCACAGACTAGAATAATAGCTGTACTCACTCTCCACACAGACACAGACAACAGAAGCAGGCAGTAGGTCTGCACTATGCTGATAAAGTTCTCTTGAAGACTTTGTCTATTGACTAGTGAGAATTTGAGATAAGACCTGAAAAATGACTTGTTTTAATTTGCAAATGACTGGAAGGAGAGTGAGGGAAGGGGGAATGTGTAGTGACCAGTCCAGTCTTGCTACAGAGTAGTGTCCTTGCTCTACTACGTTTTATGAATTTAAAAGAATCGGATCTCACCTCACAGACATGTACAGAGTATGGGGGATGGGAAGACTGTGTGTCTTTGGGGCTGTTGACATTTACAAGCAAAAGGAAATCAAACATACCGCATTGTCATAGGTCATTTTTTAAATTGCTTGTCTCCTGAACCTTGCTGCAGCTGTGGTCCCCTGAGAGATGACAGATGCTAGATTTTCCATAAATAAAAATTAAATTGTCAAATTAATCACTTTTTTTTACAAAAAGACAAGAGAGAAATCTTGCAATGTGGGTTGAGTATAGAAGCTTACAATGTCATTACTATGCCAGGTGATTGAGTATAGCACTTCACATAGAGATGAAGACAATTTACCAAATTATTTCAAAATATTTTGCAAGGCATTTAGCTTACAGTGGATTTTAAAAGGCCTGTAATTGATTCTTCTATAATTGGTCAGTGACATGAGCTGTTTGGCAGAAACAAGCGTAAATACACTTCAGACACAGTTTATGGATTAAATTGATCTTGCCAGTTTCAAGTGGTATGTTAGACGAGTTTTAAATAGTGAAACTGTTTGAAGTGGTGGGGAGAGCAGCTCTCTGTGCTAATGTAAGTGTTATGCAATCATGGGAATTTCTGTAAGAGTTTTCAAGGCTTTGTTACATAAGACTTCTACAACAAAGACTAGTCAGATGTCTTTGAAATCTGAAGCCCAAAAAATGTATGCAGAGTTTGCTGAAAAGCTTAGTTATTAAGTTAGAAAATACACGATTATGCTTGACATACATGTACTGTACCTCAGAAACGTAGTGGGATAAAAAGGTGTAAGCTATGTGTCAAGTCTGATTTTTTTTAATGTGAAGAACTGGCAACATTAGCACATTTCCTTAAAATGGAACTTGCTCATCAGTAAATCATTCAGTTTAATAAATGTGCTTTAGGAGAATCAGTCCCACTCTGTCTGAGCACTGTGTCTCTTTCCAGGGCAGCCTCGTGCGTATGATCACTGCCATAGACCAGGACCGTGGGCGTCCCAGGGGCATTGGCTATACTGTCGTCTCAGGTGAGTTCCCCCTGTCACTGCCTGCTTCCTTCGAGTGGTCAATGCCTTTTATTTTATATACAATAACCAACCTTTCGTCGAGAAACCTTCACATTAAAACCTTTTTAAGGAGTTGCAGCAGTGCTTACAGATAGACTGAGATTGTCAGTAAAATGCTTTTTGAATGTAATTCTCAGGAGAGCCCACTTCCATATTTAGGAATCAATATCAAAAGGCCGACTGTGACAAGGCCCTGTATTGGTTCAGCCCACAAGAGCTGTGTGTTGTGCGGCACAAGTCTGGCTACTTCTCAATATATAAGTAACAAACTGTTGACTGAAAGTGTAGAGGACTGTTTTAGTTCAATCCCTGCTTTCCTTTTCCCTTTCACCCCTACTACCCTTCAACAACTGCACGTCCCTTAACCAGCATTCCCTTAGAAATGCATTGTGCTCCAAATGAAACTGTTGAATTTCCCAGTGGAAACACAGTCACGGTTAATGTTTGTAAATTCGTAACCAGAGGGCTTCCATGGGATATTTGAGAGCAAATAAATCCAAGTGCACGTTGCAGTGCTCTCTAAGGATTTCGTACAGCAGGGTGGATGGCCAATGTTGTGTATTACTGAGAAGAGACACAGGTTAAGATTTTGTGTGCCGGTGAAACAGCTTTCAGCCAGACCAGCAGGGTTCCTAGGTCTATTAGAAGAAGAAGGATCAGTGAGTGCAGTTATATTTAAATCACTGCCTCTGGACTGTGTTCCTTCAGCACAGCTTTTTGCTCTTGTGGTCATTATTAAGGAGCACCTTGCTTTGATATTCCCAACTCATAGGGCTACACAGTGAAGGAGTGGATTGCTCTCAGTAATCCACTCGACTGCAGGGGCTGCCCTGTGTTTAGTCTTTGATACCTGATCTCACTGCAGTTTAAATTAAACATTTCTGTCCTTCCTCCCTGTGGAAGTGCAAGGCCTCCACACTCACAGCCAAGATAATCCTGATCAAGACGAAGGTGTAAATTAATGTTTCAGCTGGCAGTCTCTGCTTCACAGTGAATAACACTAATACAGAGAGTGGTGGGCTTTAACTATTTGACAGCCAGGCTGTTCCAAAGCCAGCATGTACTGTACTGTACTGTCATATTCCTGATTACTGTCAATTTATGCCATTAAGGAACCTGATTCTTGTCCTTCTGTGTGTGTCTCCGCAACTATTTTTGAATAAACTCATCAGCTTGATTCTGCTTGCTTAAAAAAACAAAATCACTCATGCTGAGAGGTGTGCAGTACCACTGATACAGTAGAACCATCACACTGGGCTGCTGATGGGCTACAGCTTACAGTTTCTGTAATTCCTGGCAATAGTAACAGGTCCGTGAATGACAGGAGTGCTGGTTGTCACAGAAAGCGTCTGAAATACAGTCTCAGCTATATTGCTATTATGAAAAAGTAGCACAAAATTTGTTTCATGGCCTGAATTCTTAAGTTTAGCTTTTATTCTAATAATTTGAGTTTGAAAAAGAACATGTGTAAAGCAATTAGAAGAGGAAGAAGCACTGCTTTTACCTATGGGTAGTAGAGTATTAAAACAACTGTTGTGTTTCCTTTTTGTTTTCTGAATTAGAATCCCAGATACTGAACAAATCTATTGAAAGTATGAGGTTGATAGAAGATATATCTTTGTTAGAGGTCGAAGAGGATAAAACTATATTTTGTAAATGGATGAGTAGTGCTACATTTTATTCTGCTGTTATTGTGCCATTCAATGAAATTGGCCATCCCAACAGCATGTTGACAGCAGCATTACCTGGTATCCTGATCTTGTCAGGTCTTTTAAATGAAGCATGGCTAGGTCTGGTCATTGCTGGGATAGGAGACCTCAAAGGAAAACCTGCTTGCTACTGTAAGTGGTGCTGCTGAACCAGTAGGTGGAATTCTTCCCTCTGGACCAGAAAATCCAAACCCTGTACTGTAGGAGGTCCCATCGTTTAGATGAGAAATTAAACCAGAACCTTATCTAATGGATCCTGAAACATCCAATAGCACAGTTTGTGCTAGTAAAGGTGTTAACCACAGTGTTTCTGGCTACATTCTACTCCTCGCCTTTTCTATCTGGCCTTCCTTAAGTTCCTCCTCAATTAATTTGGTCAAGTAACGTACTGCTCCTCCTAATCAGCTGTGTGGTGAGGTTGCTGGTGCATAATGACTGCCCCCATCAACAGTGGATGAAATGGGTTCCATCCTGTATTTAAAGTACTTTATATAATTCTGTATGAAAAATATTATATAAATACAATGAGGTATAATATTATTGTTCTTTGCTTAGTCATCTTTAGACATCTATGTCTAAGTCTGTAGTGCCATAAAGTGGATCTAAAACAATTAATCAATGAATTATACATAGCAATACTTCTTTTAACTTTCTTTTCTTCAAAGATGTTTTAAAAACAATTCATTTGAAAATGCAAATCACAGGAGTTTTTTACTAATAGCTGTTGTTGTTGGTGAGAATGCCGAATGGAAATTTTCACATGGAAAAAATAGCGCGATAAAAATAAAATGATTCTGCTGGTGTTATAAACTATCACGCTGTCAAAGAGTTTAAAATGCATGTTGTTCCGCAGAGTTACTTCCAGTCTCTAAATCGACCTTCCAGTGACCTCCCAGCCAAGTTTCAACCGTGCAATAGAAAGTACGCATCCCACAATTCAGCAGCAGCATACGAACGGCTGCCAAAATAATTGCACACCATTACAGAGTTCAAATACAGGCAGCCATAGCTAGATGCAATGCCCATTCACTTGTCTCCTCTCCATCCAGGTGTTGGACATCAGCTTTTAAGATAATTTTCATGAGATTTCAGAGGTCTCTAAAAGCACATCTGAAAGCTTATTTATTAACTAAGGCTTTTGGTTAGGCTTTAGACTGTGTAATTCCTTGGAGATGTTTCTATAAATGTCATTTTAGAAATCTATATAGTATTATGCTGTATTGTGTAAGTCAGAGGGTTGAATTGCACAATCTGCTGTATACATACCTCAAGTCAGGATATTTCATTCTTATCACTGCATTATTAATGAACTAAACTACAATTATGACTGGAATATACTGTAGTATAGTCTGATGCCTTTTCTTATGTTATATACCTTTTCCCTACTTTTATGCACAGTACATAAAAGTACATACAGCTTCTTTGTTTTCAATAAATTGAAAAGAAATTGAAAAAAAAATGCAAATTAAATGGCAGGTTTAAGTGTTAGTCTGCCTGCTAATGGAAATGGTGTGATCGGCTATTCTTGGTGTTTCTTTAGCAATTTTGTGCCTGCTTTCTGGAGGGATTTTCTTCATCAGTTCTTGCATTAACGCAACATTAACTTACATTTCTTATACAAATGACCTGAGAGAAGGGAACTGCTTCTTAATGGTTAATGGGGGGATTTGTAGCTTGATGCCATGCTAATGACAACATGTTGCCCAAAGTGAAAACATTTCTATTGCATTCATATTTAAGGAGCAGATACAGTATAGTACTGTATATTTGGTTATCAAAGATTTTATTGGAAATTTGAGGATCATATAATCAAAAAAGGAAAGGTGGTGCGGGCCACCTGTAATATCACAACCATTCATTCTCCCCATGCTGAATGACTGCTCAATGGAGACTCTCAGTTGGGACCTACTGTGCTCTAGGATGGGAGCTGGTGCTTTGTTTGCTTCTCTGGTGCAACAGAGCATGGATTAGCAAGGATATAAACTATAGAGTACAATGACATACCATGTGTATGAGAGGATTTTAGATGATGACATAAAGCAGAAGGATCACTTGTCTTCTATCTCCTCGAGGGTTAACGAGCACAGCCAGACTTATAGTGTGTCCTTCACTTTGTCTTTCGCCTAGTATTTGAATTCTTGATGCCACGGACTATTACCTTGGAGTTAACAGTCTTTGTTAGACAATTTTAATGCTCAGTAATATTCCAGACCCACTTTCCAAAGTATACATCATGGTTTTTAAAGCTTTTGCTCCAGAGTAAAATTTATTCTTGATCTGTGGAACATTGAATATGCATATTTAATTTGATAAAAAGGAGGTTTAAGAGAATTCTTTTACAGTTAATTGCAGTTTTGGAATTCTCTGTTATGTTTTATTTAGAAACAGTAAAAGTGGAACTCATTTTTCACCAGGACATAGAAGTAGTTTTTCAGGCAGCCGAAGAGAAGATTGCCCTGGAATGAGGGACCAGTGGCATCCTGGCTCAGTGTCTTATGGAGCGGGTCACTGCAGGGAAAGCTGGGACAGATGGCGGCTCTGGCTGTCCTCACACTGCTGGAAGCTGCAGGCTGTCTGTGCACTGTGTGGCATTTAGCTTTTCTACAAGAAAATGTGTTTTTAGTTCCCAGGCTTCTGTGTACGTTTAGGCTTGGGGCTGAGGTGCTTTTTCAGATCTTGCTAATCCACTCTTGCCTGCCAGCCATGGATTCCAATTCACAACTGTGTCACTGTGCCATCTTAGCTCCGGCTGCAGCTGCTTTCACATCCCAGAGTTACTGAGCATCAGCTCCTCAGTGCTGTGTTTCAGGAGATAGCCCAGCATCCGTGACTTGCAATGTGTAGTCCCCTAGTCCCTGCCACGGGGAAGCATCCCCATAAGATAGCGCTGCTGCCACCATGCTTCAGGGTAGGGATGGTGTTACACAGGTGATGAGGTGTCTTCAGTTTGCACCAGGTGTAGTGTTTTGGACTCAATTTTTGTTTCGTCAGACTAGAGAAGCCTTTGCTGGATGGTCTCAGGTCCTGCCACATATCTTTTTGCAAACTCCAGGTATGGAGTTTTAAATATCATCCATCTAGTCACTGTCTCACAGCGGCTAAATCTGTGCAGTAATGCAGACATAAGTGTCCTCAGAAAGGTTCTCCGCTCTCAGCCATGAAACTCTGCAGTTCAGTCAGGGAGACCATTGGGTTCTGGGTCCCTTCTCTGACCAATGTTCTCCCTGCCCAGTTGCTTAGTTTGGGGGAGCT